TGATATGGGAAAAGCTCGATGAGGAAAGCTGAGATCTCGTTAGGAGGAAGTTGAGGGAGGGATAAAGAGTCCACTTACTGTATGTCAAAGCATTGTTTCCAAGATTGTAAGGGACTGTATATGCAAAGTACCAGAACAGAGCAGAGATTGAGGCGGCGTGGTTGACACGGTTGGCAAGTTTGGCCTCGTTGAGCTTCTCAAAAGAGATCGTCATGGAGATGAAGACAATCAACATGCCTGTAGCAGCAGTCAAGAACATGACTCGGCGTTTAAATCTGGCTACCACGAAAAGTGCGAATGGAACGGCGACAATCAAGTTCCAACACTGATTTGCGAGATTAATTCTGGTCTTCGCATAGCCGGTTGTGTATCCCATCATTTGGAATAGCAAGTTGGAGTAGTAGGTGAGAAGCGAGTTTCCTGACATCTGCGTGAAGAGACCGAGGAAAGATGCGATTATTGTGCGCTTGCGCATACCTCTGGTGCTAATCATGTTCATCCAGGATTGCTTCGAGTTGTCCATTTCAATCTTGATTGTTGAGCGAATCTAGACCCAGCATTAGCACCGTCAAATGTCAAATAGTTTTAGGGGATCTGAGGGCTTTGGACTGCCTCGTTCTTGAGACACAAGGGCTGCAGAACAGTTCAAGGTGGCTCATCGAGCAGTTTCAGGGGCTCTAGCTCGAGAGAACCAAAAGTCAGGGTGAGATTGAGATTTACCTGAGCCATTTCTGCTTTTACGAGGACAGAGTCTTCGTCTCCCTCTGCGTGGTACTTGACCAAGATTGCATGGGCCTCATCATATCGATCTCTGCTCACAAGCCATCTTGGGCTCTCTGGAACGAAGCTAATGCACCACCATTAGCTAGGACAAGCAAAATACAATCTAAACTCACAAGATGAATGCAATTTGTAAAAGAGATGGGCACATTTGCAGCAACGACGGGATGCGCCAGCTCCAGTTATTAGTTATTCCGGTGGTTCTGAGCCCAATGGCTGCTGCCGTAATCGAACCAATGAAGTACGAGGAATTGAAAAGAGATGTCAAAGTGTCTCGATCCTTTGGATGACCGAGTTCACCAAGTAAAGATGATCCAGAGATGATGCAGAAAACAATCCCAAATCCAAGAACCATACGGGCAAAGAGATACATCCCCACTGCAAAAGTCAGCTAGAAAACCTTATATCGTCAGAGTAGAAGACGTACAATCTTGGGCAAAACCTTGGATGATGGCTCCAATTACCATAATCACGGAGCCACCAAAAATAGGCCAACGTCGCCCAAACCTCTGGTTGATGTAGGGTGCAATAGGAACGCCAATAATGGAACCTAGTTGGTATGAAGCACTCAAGAATCCCAACAAGGGAGTTGATATCACTGGGGCTCCTTTCGCATCCTTGGTATTTCCGAAATCTGAAATGTTTTAGTAGCTATCCAACCGGAGTTTGGGGGGTGGTCTTTACAAGAGTTCCATGGAGTAGAGAACTGCAAGACATTGATAAGTTGGGAGTCAAATCCTGAGGTCATCTCCACACCCATGCAGCAGGCAAAAAGACAAAAGTACATTCCCCGAAGATTTGGTTTCTTGTACCATTTGACAGGATCCTCGGCTGCAATCTGGGTCACGATAGGGTCTGAAATCCCAGACGCAATGGGAACCGCGACTGGAATGTGTGGTGCCATTGTGAAGATACACCGTTATTCGAAAGCTCGCCTGGGTTAATTATTTTCGTAAAGTATTCTCCTCCTGATCTTGCTATGCTTGCCAGGGTGAGGAAGTAAAGGAAAGAGACCCAGGGCTCTGGACGCAATATAGCTTTAATATGCGGTACTGGAGTGCCATATTATTGTGGGGTTGAAGATCGCCTCCAGAAGTTTGGTTGCATTCAGCCTGATATAGGCTAAGCTCGGTTGCTTCTTTGGGACAGCTCCTGACTGCGGGGTGGCAGCCTCCAACTTTATTCTCGATAAACAGTGGTTGGAAAGCACAAGGAATCTCCAATCAATCGCCTCGGAACCAAAATAGCGGAATCACTAATACCGTAGTAATACAAAACGTCCACTTCTGGGAGCGAGATGGCGCTTGCTGCCTGCAACTCCACACGTGAGGATCTCGCAGGAACGAGATCCGAACGTAGAAAAGTCGGCCCGGGTCCCGTAACAACTTTGTGAAGACTAGAAATGTGAATTATCTGCCTAATGCCGAGTTAGCACTCATCAAATGAGATTCGCCTCCTCGTGTTCCCAAGGCCAAGCCGGCCACCAAACCGCATTCTCTTTACCCAGCCTCTCAGAGTCATGTGCCAAGACTGGAGAGCGGCCGAGGCCGCGTTTTCGCTTGAAGCTGTGTCATGGGATTATTGGCTTCGGGAACGGTCGTTCGCGGGGGTTGGAGAAAATCCCGGGCTGTGTCGGTGTAGAAGAGAGCTCCTGCCTTGAAGGATGCGAGAAATGTATACCGAAAGCGAAAGCGACCCTCTTCGATATCTTTCAATATTCTATTCTTCCGCGCATTTCCGACGAATCATGTCTAATCGATAGCCATGCCTCACAAACCTGGTAACTTTCAGAGTCCAGACAAGGCTGATATTTAGTCCATCATGTAACATTGGAGCGGAAATGGGGCTAGCAATTACATGAGGCTCGTCGCTGGTGTGACTTCTTTTCTTAGAATCCACCTAGATATTCAAGCCTCATGTCCGGAAAACCACGACTTCGTGCTCTTGTACATTGGGCTTGACGCCGTTTTCAACCAGTGCATAGAGTACATAATAATTTGACAATGCCGAGAGCTTACCAGTTCTAGCCCTTATACTCCCAAGTCTCATGCTCTCATCTCAAACTCCCATTCCTAATCCAGTTTCTTTTTGTCTAACCAGGCCTTGAACAGTTTTCTAATAGGCATTAGTCACGATTTAGAAAATGGCAGCGGCCACAATCGACAAACTCACAGAGCCTCCACTGGCTTGTCCCAAGGGACCATGTGGCCAGCACCATTGACCCTAGCATATCGGAGTGGACCACTCTCCCACCACAAGCCACCGCTCCATACTTGCTTGTTGTTCTCCTGCTGATATCGGAAATCTGGAAGGCCATTCCAAACAAGCGACCCAAAGACTCTTTCATTGCCAACGAAGTTGCAAATCCAGTCGTATGTTCCAACATAAATGAGCGCTCGGATCCCGGAATGCAGCAGATTGGCAACGTAAGGTCTGGTGTCGATGATGAAGTCGTTCACTTTCTGGAATTCGCGGCCTACTTTATTGCTGCATCCAACAAAAGCTGGTGCTGCTTTGTCAACTCCGAATGCTTCCCTGACCTTGTCCTTCCTCAGGAATTTTGTGATTGAAGTCATGATTGGGTAGCACAGGTACCTGACGATTCACGTTAGCATTCCTGGCGAAAGCATCTCTACTAAGGCCCTCGGAGAGAATTTTCAAAATCGGATAGCTGAACGTACCCATCGCATGGCCGACTGATATCGTAATAATTCAGTCCTGAATTGAAATATGGCCGTTCAAGCTCTTGACTACAGTAGCTCTCCGCTGTCTGGCAGATCAGAGGATCCGGATAAGCGTGGCAGGCCTTCATCAAAAGTTCACATCTTCCTACCGCGTGAGCCATCTTGTCACACACGCTTGATTCCAAGAGTGGTCCAATTCCAGTGACATTGGTACAGGAGATGTCGTAATAAGAACTTGCTTGCTTGGTATCGCTGAAGATTCCATTACCGATTAAGACAGATTCCAGTGGGATTTGCTCGTCAAGCGTGACAATTTTGTTCATTTCATTGATATGATCAGCGAATACGGGAATGTAATGCCCTGGTTAATCAGCATAAGTCGTGTGGAAGGGAAGAGAAATTACCTCCGTAAGACTCTCCAGCAATCGAAAAAGGTAGCGACCTCGACTCTGGGAATGCCTTGTACCACAATCTCATGAAAGCGTAGATGTCCTCGCTGGCTGCAAAAGTACCACCTTCTCCTCCATGATATGAATCATTAGTATGATAAGAAAACCCGACGCCGATCTATTTAGGATGTTACTATGAGAAGAAATGGTAGATAGGGATGACATACTGGTTGATCTAGAAAGAAAACATTGGCGGCGCTGATCCAGCTGTGGGGGTTCTCTCGAGCGGATTCGCCATCCTCGTTCACAGTGCATGGTCCCAATTCCATAAAAAGACCCGTCATACTCGAACAGCCAGGTCCTCCATTCAGCCAGAGTACGAGAGGGTCTTCAGCTGGTTTGGAGCGTGATTCGAAGTAGGCAAAGTAGAAATGTTTGTCCCCGTGATTTAGGTATCCTGTGTAACCTGATGTTGCTCCAGGACAGATATCATCCAAGGCTGGCGCATTACTTTTAATCGATGGATTCTTAGGACCATGAGCTTTGATAGTCAGACTGTGATCTGGATGAGATTCGTGGGTAAGAGTTCTGAAGCCGGAGGCTTCCTCGAGTGCTTCATAGGTGGAATCTGTCAGGGGAACTTGTGTTGCCAAAGAAGCTGCCGATGAAGCAGCGAGGGTGACCAGAATAGCTGGCCAAACGGACTTCATCATTTCTTTGCAATAGATATAGACCGTTAAGTGTTGTGTTTGTGTGAGGTTTGATATGTTGTTCGTTGGAGACTGAAGGCTTGAAACTCCTGGCAACCCGCAGATAAGGAGACCATTACATAAGCAGACCCACTTACCCTGCTCTCCCCTGAAACGTTCGCTTACGAGTTAGAACATAGGCACAAACAGAGATGCCTGCTGATCGAGTTGGTAGTCAAATTTCTGTATATAAGCTCAATATAAGCAGGTACGTGTAGAAGCTGAAGTTACTTAAGAAAAGTGGATGTATGATAAGTCATTACTGCTCTCTTTGTCTGGGGGAAGGGCAAAAAAGACGACCCTTTCTACCCCGACGACAGAGGTGGAGAAGGAGAAAATCAAGGAACGAGCTAATTAAAAGCAAAAGAGTGTATAACCTAATTCCACAAATTATAATTAGGCCGCAACAGGGTTCGAACCTGTGTCCCCAGAATACTACACAATTATATTGTCAGAATCTAATGTGCTCTATAGTTTTTGTTAGTGTAGAACTATTTCAAGCGGGTTTGAACAAACTTACAACCACTACACTATGCGGCCATTGGTGGCATTGGCGAGAAAGACCTTGATTCAGTATATAATTCAAGCACTTTAACGTAGTGAATCCTTACTCGATGGAGTTTCACTTTTCGGATAGCTGCTTCTCGCTTACTTGGCACGGAGAAACACTTCAAGACTTGTTAGCACATAGATCATTCGGTTTCATCAGAAGGGCATGCATTGAACCAGAATTTACTTAAGAGTGAGTTCTATTGAGTTATAGGGATCAACATCTCATAAAACGATGAAAACGGTGAAGGGTTCAAGTTCAATATGCGGGCCCTGTCGTGAGAAATCCACCCCTCAACACTTTGCCAACCGCTTTCTAATTCTCGATTTCGCCAAACCGTTTACGACCGCAATTCTAAGCACATGATTTGGAACATTGTAGGCAGTCTAAGAGTTTGCTGGCAATTGGACATTTGCAAAAAATGAAGAAATAAAAGCAATTGGCTTCTAAGATTGTTGAAACAAAGATAGTCAGTCACTCGAGCCCCGCAGTCTACCCAAAGGAATATCACATAAGAAAAACTCTGTTTCCGGAATGCGAACACTGCCTCTGTTTCACGATCTTGTCAACCAGCCGAGAAGTTTACCTTAGCATCAAAGGCAACTGTCACGAGAATGGTGTGTAGTTTATAACTTCTTCTCCATGCAGCCCCCCTCTCTCTAGAAAGCTGATTCAAGCAAACAAAGCAAAATGACATGCTCTTGAGTTTTGAACTTACGAGCAAGCATTCAACATGAGAAAGAGAACTGCTGCTGCAAGTTTTCACTTGACAAAACTCAGCTTGGCATGAATTTTAACCTGTCTAAAGGGCATAGGAATGGGCGTACGAGTCTTCTGTATAGCAAGTAAAGCAGATCAGTCTAGCTTCGTTTCTCGTCACTGTGACTTCCAGTGGGGCTGGGTGGAAGACGCCGGTTTCGCAAGCCCGATATGTTGAGAAGCTAAGTATCCGGAAGCTCCCCAACTCCACTGTATCAGTTGAACGGACACGATATTGATTCTCACAACAGAACCACAAAGATTGAGTGCAAAAAGGGAAGCTTTCCCAAACGTATTGAATGACCTCTATATAACATGATATGCAGAAAATCTTGAGAAAGAGATGCGCAAGTTTTCTTCGTGAGTCATGAGGCGCAAATACCGGGTATCCCAATATGTAATGTAACGCTAACTTTTGATACAATCCCGCTCCCTGCTCAGTCTAAATACATTTGAGCAGGGACGTTTCATTCTTCCTTTCCGAGGCCGCTTTCGCCTTTAGCACTAGCTAAGTCTCTAGAGTATTGATTATTTGACTAAGGTGTTGGTGAATATCAGCGTCAGGCGCCAAACCTTGCCTGAGCGAGCTGAATTGTTGTGAGACAGAAGGTGTAGAATCATCCGGTGGCTGTTGAATTTTTGAATAAATCTGGATCAAACAAGTTGTTGGACCTTGTGATGTATATCTGGATGATGAGGGTGGAACATCCGACAGCCATAGCGATGGCGATGATAGGTAGATTCACGCGGGCGAAGTCGAGACGCCGGACATGGATGTGTTTCCTGCCAAGAATATCTCGCCACAGGAGACCAGCTAGGGAAGCGCTGAATGCCGTACTGAACGCTCCGTAATTGACGCCAAGCGCCATAGCATATACCGTGCCCCAGAAGGTCCTCTCCGTGATGATAGTCCCGTCTAAATGATGGATCTGTACCCATGCTTGAATAACGCGACAGAGGAGAATAGTGGTACCAATGTTTGTACCTGCAAACTAATGAACATAAAGTATCAGCTGATGGGACTCCAAATTTTTAGCAGGTTCCAGAACACTCACATTGCACAAAAGTGTCGAGATAAACCCCATCCCGCCAATAGCACCGACGGTCCCTGTCTTTTTCACCCACTAATAGTTTTCAGTTAGCAGTAATTCGTTAGAGGATACGCATATGCCGAACCAGTAACTTTCGCAAAGGAAAGGTTCGTTAAACGCCTCACAACTCGTGAGGAATTTGCATACGGAACGTTGAGTCGAATATTTACTTACATGGTCCCATCCATAGGCAAACACAGGCACCCAGCCATTTGTCACCAATCCTTGTACTAGGACGAACATGGAGAAAGCAAACGGCAAGAGTGCGTAGGGCAAGTGCGATAACACTGCCGTGCAGGTCGGAAACGTCTCCTGGGCCCAGCGATGCGCATCTTCCACCAATGTTACGACTGATGTACGTTTCTGCTCACGGGCAGCCTCGTCCGAGATCCGTTCCGAGTACGCTCGCTTCTCCTCATCCTCTCCGCTGGACACTGTGCCCGGGACTCTTTGCGGCCGATGACCGGAGTCTAGGCCGTCTAGTTCTTGTTTGCCATCGGGAGTATTTGTTACACTGGTTGATAGCCCATTCTGGGATGTGTCGTCTCTTGGTACCAGCTTTGCGACTGATGATGCGAGATCAGGAGCCACATCATCGCCATTCTCGGACACAGAAGGCTGCAATGGAACACCTCTGTCGACATCCTCTTGACCTTGTTGTACAGTTCCCGGAAAATTTTCATTCCCAAGAGCAGCTATTCTTGCCTGCTCAGCCTGCTCAGCCCGAAACCTTTCCTTTTCTTCTCTGCCATTTTTAGAAATCTCACGCGTTTTCTTCCGATTGATCCACCCGGATGCTAGATCCCAACAGAACATAACAACCGCAGCTGGTAGTGTTATGTAGAACACGGGTACGTCTTTACCGTTACCTTGATCGCTAGCATTGACTGCGAGAAGAGTGACTAGTGTGGCTGTCATAATGAGAGCTCCAAATGCAGCGCCTTTCCTGTCTACGAAAGGATTCATAATCTCCTCGAGTGATAGCACCTTCCCTTGTTCATCATTTACGTTCTCTTGCTCTTCGGCGATACCCCTACCGTCAGGGATATTAGGGTTGATGGGAACCTTGGCTTGCTCCTCTGGGGTAAGGCTATGCATCTCAATCTTCAGGGGAATAAGGGCCTCTTCTGCGAAGACGATGTACAGCAAAAAGGGAAATAGGACAATAGCTGTGACAATGACAGGGACAATCATATTTGCCTAGAGTCTAGTAAGTAATTGGCTCCCTGGAAATCAAAGCAAATAATATTGCTCCGGGACAACAGGACTAACCGTGTACTTGATAAAAGTCACGTGGAAAGCACCGGCAAGCACGAGATTTGTTGGATTGGAAGAGACGAGGATAGCAGATGCGATATTGGCTACGGCGAATTGAGTGTGAATCCAAGCTCGTGGATGGACGATATTGCTTGAAACTCGAGTCATATAGGCGAGGAAAGCCGTTCCGGAAAGGATAATTGGATCGTTTCCAATGAAGCTGCCCAGGACGAAGAAGAAGGCGTATAGGTAAAAGAACAGCAAGTGCCCAACCTTGCCAGCCTTTTGGAGCACTTTGAACGCCAACCACCTAATCAATCCCGAAGCGTCGATGGAAATAGCAATATATGCCAACGAGAGGAAGAAGAGCATGATGTTATAAGGCCTGGGACACAAGAAAGTCAGCAATCGATCGACTGAGATCTTCTCGAGAGGAATCGTGACCTCTGGGAGAAGTCCACGAGATATTCCAACTCAACATATGAAAGGATGCCTTCTTAAACACCTACAAAATGCTATCTGCGCCGATTGTGCCATCGTGCACTTCTTTCCTACCGATGGCAAGAATGGCAAGCAGGAAAAGATCTGCTATCAATGGCGCTGTGACAAAATTCATTGGGAACCTCAGCCGTACCCACGGCTTGTCTTTGCCATTATCGTCATCTGTGCCGTCATGTTGAAAGCGTTTTCGCTGGGTCGATATTATTCGACAAGAGCTCAGACCATCCAAGACGATATTCGAAAGCCATCGCGGGACGTAGAAAGGGATATGGAAAGGGAAAAGCACAATGATATCTGTGCACAGAGGTTAATATCAAAGATCCGATCTCGCAGGGCCTCTCATTCACTTACTAGTAACAACAAACACAATCAGCGTTATGATTGATTTGTAACTCCTGATTTGGCTGGTGCTTGTGCTAACCTCGCCGTTGTTGTCCATCGCGACAAGTCCTTTCGAACAGAGTTGCCTGAGCAAGATGTACTTGTTCTGGAGCGGTCTAGAAGGAGCTCACGCTCTTTGGCCAATGCAAGAGCCGTTACTCTTTAGAAAGAGCCCATTTGTAAAGGGTACGTTCGGCTTGCAGGCTAGTGGTACCTCATCGAGTTGTTGCAGAAAGTCTGGAAAGGCGGAGACGGCTTAGAGGTTGGTTAGATGTTGCGAATCAACGAGCGCACTGAGGGCAAGATTCGAGGGACCGTAGGGAATCGAAGGACTCGGACTCGGCGGGTGAATGGATTGCTGCACTGCGTGTATCTAGAAGCATCACATTACTGTTAGCAAGGCATTGTGCAGAGTGTTGAGAACCAGATAATAGGTAGGTAGCTAACGAGGTTGGAGAGCTGGGAAAAAAGCGTAAGCGACGGCATCAGCCGCTGATCTCACCCCGCCCCCCGGAAAAAAGGGCCCAACCACAGTCACGTGGGATCGACCCTTTCTGCATTCATTAGGATGAGCAAAATGAGCAAACGTACCAGTAGTGTACCGCACCGTACCGACTAATGCCACAACTGGACGCCAGCTTCGTGCGTGAATTGTGCCCGCGCTTTCAATGGTGGGAGGATTTCACAAGACAATACTTGACAGTGAGGCTGCAAGTTGCCGGCTTTGGGGGGGCCGTGAGGTCACCGAGGGCGGATATGGACCAAGAAGAAGTTAGAACGGGGAAAGGTGAGAAGATAGAGGATCCATCGCAGGCAACAAGTATGTTAGGATGTCCCTCCGGCCAGTGGGCGGTGAGACAGCGAGGCTGTGCAAGAACATGTGAGGGAATTATGGTGCGGCCACTTACAGTCTGCTCGGTCAATCGCGGGCTGGGCCGGCGAGGGCAAAGTGAAGTGTGGACAATAAGAATGAGGCGGGCGTGCTGCAGCTGCAGGTGAAG